TTTTGGGTATATAAAAAGCAACTGCTTCCGTGCAATTTGATTGGGTTGGTAAAACATTGTAACCTTGTATAAGACCAGTATCTGCCCTGCATGCTCTAACCTCCGTCTTTCCAGTCTTGCAGCTATTGCAAGGAAGAGACCTGTCTATTATAAATCTGTCCTTGCTGTACTGCTTGATTTCGGTCCAAATTTGGAGACTGCAAAGGGTCGCCATACTGTCAGCATACAGTATTCCTTGAGAAGTGCTTTGTTGGGATTTCTGAGGTGTACTCATCCTGTCATTGCAGAGGTAAAGTTAAATGTGAAGTAATCTGCATGATAGTTTCCGCCAGTTTGTGTTCTGCTTTGTGATGTTCCCCAAAAGATACCTATATATCTGGCTATTCTTATAGGGGGAGTCGACAACACTAATTTGCGAGCAAAAGCTCGTTCTGCTTGGCTATTTCAAATTCTGAATTCAGTAGTTTACTGTATGGATGTGCAACTTGCGTTTTTAGCCAGATAATTTTCATTACTTGCAAATCTTTCCTTCAGACTCTTATTATGAGAATTCATTTTGAGTTCACTTAGATAAAAGCGACCCATGAAATTTATCTTCATGTGAAAATAAATCTTTAATATTGTGTTACAGACTTATTTGAGTGAATTCATTTTTCCCCCAGCCGAGAGAGAGATTGATCAAGGAATTGCGAGCAATGAATGCCGGAGATGCTGCTGACCAAGTTATTCGACAAAGAGATAAAATGATCAGAACAAACGACCGTGTTTCTCGGGATCATCAATTCAATAGGGTAATTGCTATCTTTTTGGTGGAATGAAGGAAATTTGCAGCTGGTTCCATTTATTGTATTTGAGATGTAGTTCATGATTGTGAAATTTGGCTATTTTTCTTCAGGAAGAGCAGCTGTCCAGTCAATTGCATATTTCAGGGGACATAACAAAGAAAAGGTTGGCCCCATCAGACAATGATGATCAACTCAATAGCTTTGACTCCACTTCCAAGAGATATCGTGCGGGTCCTCTCAACAATACAACCACCATTGGTGATAGCAATGGTGCTGGTCATGTAAATGGCATATCTCCTAAGCTCCCTGAAGACCTTAGTCCTGTCGAGCAGATGATTGCTATGATTGGTGCTTTAATAGCCGAAGGAGAAAGAGGGGTGGAGTCTCTTGAAATTTTGATATCCAACATACATGCGGATTTACTTGCTGATATTGTTATAACGAATATGAAGCACTTGCCCAAGGACTCACTCCCTTCCACGAGATACAGTAACACATCTGTTAATCATCGTAGTGATTCTTCTAATAATCCAGTCCAGGTGGGGGCTTCAAATGGTTTTGCAACTTCTGCAGAGACATTGGACCTTTCAGCTCAAGTACCTGCATCCTTGTCGAACATTGCTGGTTTGCCGTTTCCTGACATGTCCTCTTCCATCACTCCCTCTATGGACTCCAAACGTGATCCACGAAGGGTGAGCTAACCAGTTGGTTGACATCATATGAGGCAACTTTTTTCTGGATAAGTTGCAAGGCCACCAGTTGAAGTTTTTGGCCAAATTTTAAAAAACCCAGCTAACTTTGAAAATGATAACATCCACCATTAAGGTGTTTGGCCAATTTTTTTTTTTTTTTTTTAAACCCGGGTCTTTGAAATTATGAAAAACTGAAAACCACAATTGATGCTACTATCAACTTATAGTTTTCACCAGCTGCTAGTGGAGCTTATTGATACTGGATGCGATTAAAATACTTACTGTTACACTCTCGGCTTTTACTCTCATTTTTTTTTTTTTTTTTTTTTTTTT